GGGCCCTGGGAGTGGAGGTAGGCAGCTCAGGTAGTTAAGGTGCCCAAGCCCAGTCCTGAAGGGCCGAGGGCTGAGACAGCGCCCGCTCGGCCTCTCCGCCTCTCCACCTCTCTGCCTCCCTCTCTGTCCTCATCCCTCCTTCTCTGCTTCCATGTCTCCTTCTTCCCTTCCTCCATATCTCTCCTCTCTGCATCTCTCCTCTCTCCCTTTCTCCTCTCTCCATGTCTCTCTCCCCCTCCATTGTGAACTCATTAGCTGCAGGGCTGCAGGCAGGTCTGGGTCTGTGCAGGGTGGCTCAGGGGTGTCCAAGGAGACGCCTGAGGGCCACACCTGCCTTCTCCTCAAACCTGGCCTTTGGGGGGCCAGAAGGCATCCCAGTAGTCCCAGGGCTCGGCGAGGGTCAGGGGCAGGTGAGCGTCCACTTTATGGCCAGATGGCCCTGGCCTGCGTCTTTCCCAGCAGTTTCCACAAGCGCTTCCTTCTGTGAGCAGAGCCCTAGGGCTGGTCACGCAGTTAAACAAAGAGCCCCCAGCTCCCCGCCTGCTGCCTGCTGAGGGCCTGGCCCTCCCTGCTTCCTGTCTCTGAGGTGCCTGTTTGCGTCGTGAGCTGTTTACCTGGGCACCTGCTCAGCAGCAGCCCATCAAAGCCCCCCCTCAAGTGTGGTGAGAGGGCGGAGGAGGGTGGCCACCTGCAGGCGGGCTCGGGCTCCCATGAGGCAAAGCTGCTCTCTTCCTCACCTGGAGGCCCAAGCGCCACGCCAAGGCCCAGGCTGGAGAGCCCGCAGCCTGGGGTGGGCCTCGTCCTGCTGAGACTCCAGGGAGCTGCGGGGGCAGGGGGTCAGGAGCTGCAGGGGGCGGTGGCAGGCCTGTGGGGGGTCTTCAGGATCTGGGCCACACATAGGCAAGGGGGACGGGCGTCCCTCCGTGTCTTGCTGACGCTCGTTTCCTGGGTGGGATGACCACGAAGGACTCTGGGCTTTAACCACGAACAAGGAGAGAAAGGCATCCATGGGCCTGCAGGCGGCACGGAGGGTAAGGTGCTGCATCCAGTCCTGGCCCTGCCCGCAAGAGGGACTCGGCAGGCATGCGTGCGGGTGTGTGAGGGCGTGTGTGCGGGCGTGCCCCAGATCCTGTTAGAAGAATGGAGAAGGGATTTCTACGTGGCCATCCCCTGCAGGGGGTTGATTTCTCACTTTCTCTCTATCTCTGTCTCTCTATCTCTGGAGAGTCACCTGCCCTCTAGCAAATTGAGAGAGCAGTCCCACTGTGGGGCAGTGGCAGGCAGCCAGAGCTACATGGGAAGCCCGGGTCTGGGTGCTGGGCCACGCTGGACATGCAGGGGTGTGCACGCCTGTACTCGCAGCCGGGGAGGCTGGGTCTGGGCGACAGGGGCACCCTCTCCTCCCTGCCTTCGCTCTCCTGCTCGCTGTTCCTGCATGTGGTCTGTCTTTGAGGCCCTCTCCCCTGCTCAAAAGCAAATGTGAAACAGTGGGGAGGTCTGCGAGTCACAGGCGCCTCAGGGCTGAGCCGTGTGGTCCTCCCAGCCCAGGGTAGCCGAGCAGTTTCCACCCTCCTGGAGCTGGGCTCGGAGGCTGCAGGTCGGCCGAGCGAGACCCTTCCTAATGGATCCAGGTAAGGCTCTCTTTGTCTGATTGCTGGCTATTTCCAGAGTGGAGGGAGAGTCTTGTTTACTTAACCTACTGCCGTTTTTACCAGCCAGTCCCGCCAAGTGCACCCTGTCTTGTGTGCTGCGGGGTGCGGAGCTGTGGTCCGTGTGCGCCTCGCCCTGACCATGGGGAGCCCCTCCAGGAGAGGCAGGCGCAGCCCCTAAGCTGGGCGGGTGACCGAGGTTGTGCTCTGAGTGCTAAGTCCATGCAGGGACCCAGTGCAGGGCAGGGAGCTGCGCGACCGCCTGCCACTCCGAGCGTGCCGGGCTTGCCGGCGCTGTGCCTTCTGCCATCTTCTGAAGCACATCGGCGGGGGACTCAGCATCACGAGCATGGCAAGGGTGAGCGGTAAACATTTTAAGTAGGTTATCTCACTAGTTCTCCTTCTAACCTCCTGCACGCTGGCCTTGCTATCCAATCTACTTACAGACGAGAACTCTGAGTTTGAGAGCGGGCAAGGCCTCGGCTGCAACAGGGCTGGGCGGGGCCCTCCCTGCCCCCAGGCTCTGAGCACCTTAGGAGGGAACTCACATCCGGGCGGTTCACCGGCTCCCTAGGACCCCGGAGACCTGGAGGCCAGGCACTGGTGGCCAGCTGGTGCTGCCCTCTCTGCTAGCGTAGGAACCCGCAGCGGTGGGCAGAAGCTGACCCTGCCGCAGGTGCACCCCCGCGGACACGGGGGCCCTCTGCCCTCCTGCCCGACTTGGAGAAAGCGGCTGTGGCGGCAGACCGCGGCCCGGCCACCAGGCTGTGCCTCTGTGAGTCAGGCCGCCACATTCCGGTCCTCAACCTGACATCAAGACCCAGATTTTAAAAAGGCTAGTTGAATCGTTCTACCAGAGATGGCTCCGTCTCCCAGGCGTCTCCGGCGTGAGGGCAGAGGGCGCGCCCCTGACGACAGCAATCCACTTCCGCAGGGAATCTGAGCTGGGTTCGCAGCCTGTCTCCGGGACGCACTCACTGTCCACTTCGGGGCACAGGCCCAGCCACAGCCAGCCCTCCTGGGGCCCCGATCGGATCCACAGTTAGCGAGATGGTTATTACGAGGCGAAGGCCCAGGCTAGCCCTCCTTCGGCCACCAGTGGCCTTCCGTGAGGTCTGACATCTGCTGTGGGGTCGGTACCTGGCTCGTTACTGCGCCTGTGCTGAAGCCAGCTGGAAGGAGCCAGCCGCTGGTCCCGTCTGCACAGAAATGCCGGCTTCTCTCTCACTGCTATTTTGTGCCATGCCCTGTGTTCTATTTCATGATCTTAGTTTTCCTGATAGCTTCCTTCTAGCATAAATTCACTGCACTGGTGAATTATGTAAGTACTATTTATCATAATTCTGAATTCTTAGCTTAGCATAGGTAGTTGATTGATGGCATTTTAAGTAACTTTCATAATGATTTTAAATGATGAAATTAAAATAATGATTTTTAATTAAAAAATGTGACAGTTCCTGACTAGGACGACGGCAGACACGGAAACCGAGCGCCTGCACCCCGAGGCAAGACGACAGGTGAGACCCGGCAGAGAGCAGAGGCAGGTCTCCGCACAGAGGCCGCAGGGCTGCCCTCGTGCAGTCCTTCCTCTTTAGGTCAGAGAACCTCCCAGAGTCGCCGGGAGTCTGCGTGGAGGTGAATCACACCTGGGAACTGGGAAGGGAGCACAGAGCAGCAGACTGAGAAAGGACGCCCCCACGCTGGCGCTACGGCCCCACCGGCACAGCCGTGGGAGGGACAGCCGGGGAGGGACAGCCGGGGAGGGGAAAGCCAGAGAGGGACAGCTGGGGAACGGACAGCCGGGGAACGGACTGCCGTGGGAGGGGCAGCCGGGGAGGGGACAGCCGGGGAGGGGACAGC